AATTAGAAACCAAGACCCAATGCTGTCTATAAGAAATCCACTTCAAATATAAAGATATATATAGTTTAAAAGGAAAGGAAAAACTTCCAGCTTCCAGTCTGATATGCAAAGGGCTTGGAAAATGTCACTCATCCTCAGAACAACAGCAATAAAGCTGAATTAACTGAAAACCAGTAATACTTCTTAAGTACAACGGAGAATTGAGGTCACAGGGCAAACCACCACCCAGGAAACTGAAGAAACAGGTGAATACAGAGAATCACATCTTACCAGAAGCAGCAACTGCTGCTAGAGTCAGCAACTGGTTCAAAAACTTTATTAGAGTAACTGCTAACTGACTAATGGCTGGAGACTGAGTATGGACGAGGTTAAGAGAGAAAAACTCCTAGAAGCCCAGCCTTAGGAAGAGATCTACCTTTTCCTGAATTCTACCTAGGAGCCCCACCAGATCCCCTTCAGGATAAAGACAAAAGAAAATTCTCCAGTGCCTCCTGCAGAGGGAGGGGGAAAGTAATTATTGTGAAATACACTCAGAGCATTGTGCTCTCTTGAACAAAGACCTGACTTCTATGAAAACTGATTTAAAGTATAACCAACATGGGTTTTACTAGAGCCTAATTGACATGGGGAAAGAAAAATACTCAACTTCAGACTCCTCTAGCTTTCCTGTCTCCCACATAAGTTGGGGGGCAGGGGAGTGAGAAGCACCTGTAAAGGTCACAGCCATGGATATATACCCACTAAAAGACTAAGATCTAATCACAGGATTTTAGAACACTTCTGTTCCCCCTACAACTTACCACCGTATCAATACGGCTCCTATATTAATACCATGAGATTACAATTCAAAGCTCTATAAACTGGGGCGCCTGGGTGGCTCAGTGGGTTAAGCCTCTGCCTTCAGCTAGGGTCATGATCTCAGAGTCTAGGGATCAAGCCCCACATCCGGCTCTCTGCTCAGCAGGGAACCTGCTCCCCTCCTCCTTCTGCCTGCCTCTCTGCCTACTTATGATCCCTCTTTCTGTGTGTGTCAAATAAATAAATAAAATCTTAAAAAAAAAAAAAACTATAAACTTAGACTCCCTTTAATGAGTCTCTAAGGAAATGCGAAAATACCAAGGCAAACAAAAACAAGGATATCTAAATAATTTTAAATTCGGAATCTTAGCCTTTATCCCAGATATAAAATTAGTAAATCAGTTGAACTGAATAGCACCATCAATCAGCTTGATCAAATTGACATTTACAGATTAGTTTATCTAGTGACAATTGAATATACAAGCTTCTCAAGAATACACAATTCCTGTCAAGCTCATGTATAATGTTCACAAAAATGGACCACATTCTGGCCTATAAAACATACATAAACAATTTAAAAGAATAGAAATCACAAAAGATGCTCTCAGACCACAACAGAATTAAACAAGAAATCACTAACAGAAAGATAACTGGAAAATCCAAAATATTTGGAGATTTAAACAACAGATGAATCAAGGAAGAAGTATCAAAAGAAACTGTAAAATATTTGAAACTGATTAAAAAAATAAAAATTACCAAAAACGGTAGAATCAGTGACAGCAGTGCTCACAGAGAAATTTATAGTATGGAGTATGTATGTTAGACAAGAAGAGAAACTTAGAATCAGTAATCTAAGTTTTCACCTTAAAAAACAAGGAAAAGAAGAGTAAATTAAACCCAAAATAAGGAGAAGAAATAATGATAATCAGAACAGAAATGAATGAAACTGAAAATAAGTAAGTTAAAAGAGGTTACCACAAACTATTTTTTGAAAGGTCAACAAAATTAATATACCTCTAGTATGGCCACCAAGAAAAAAAGATAAAAGACACAAATTACTGATATCAGAAACAAAAGAGGGGCCATCCCTACTAATCTCATGGATAATAGAAAAGAAAATAAAAGAGTATTATAAACAATTCTATGTCCACAAATTTAATGTCTTCAATAAAATGGATCAATTCCCTGAAAGACACAATACAACAAAATTCAGACAAGGAGAAATAGATTATCTGAAGAGTCCTACATATATTACAGAAATTGAATAAAAAATTAATAACCTTCCAAAAGAAATCACCAGGGCTAGGTGGTTTCACTAGACTTCTATCAAATATGTAATGAAGAAATAATACAAATTCTCTACAGTCTCCTCCAGAAAACAGAAGCAGAGGAAATATTTGCTAACTTGTTCCATGAGGGCAGCATTACCTAATACCAAAACCAAACAAAGACACTACAAAAAACGTGAAAGAACAGCATCTCTCATGAACATAAATACAAAATCCTCAAGAAAATACTAGCAAATAAAAACCACGTATAAAGAGAATTTTATATCACAACTAAGTAGGATTTATTCCAGGCATGCAAAGCTGGTTCAACATTCCAAAATTAATTAATGTGATCCATCATATCAACAGGCTAAAGAAGAAAAAATATATGATCATATCAATAGAGAAAGCATTTGACAAAATCCAACATCCATTCAACATGATATCTACCAGCAAACTAAGACTAGAAAGGAACCTCAATTTTATATACAAATGAAAAAACCAACAGCTAACACCATACTTAATGGTGAGAACCTAAGAGCCTTCCCACTGAGATCAGGAATTAGAAGGATGTCCCTTTTCACCATTCCCCTGCAGTATCATATTAGAAGTCTTACCTAACACAGTAAGACAGGAAAAGGAAATAAAAGGCATAGACTGGGAATGAAGAAATAAAAACAAATTCTACTCCTACAGAATTTTACTCCTAAGTACTTACCCAAAAAAAGAAAACACACATCCACACAAAAATGTGTACATGAATGCTTACAGCAGTTCTATCCATAATCACCTAGTATGGGAAGCAATCTTGGTTAACCATTGCTGCATTACAATTACCCCAAAACTCAGCAGTTTAAAACACCAAACATGCATTATTTCACAACTTCTATGAGATAGAAATTTGGGAGGAACTTGATTGAGCACTTTGGCTCCAGGATGTTCAGGAATTTGCAGTCAAGTTATCTGAAGGAATTAATCTGAAATCTTGACAGGGGCTGACAGATCCATTCTAAGATGGCTTGCTCATATGCTATTGACAAGAGGCCTCAGTTCCTCAGAGGCTATTGTCAGGAGGCCAGAGTTCCTTGCCACACAAACCTCTCTACAGGGTCCACTGTTTCCTCACAAAATGGCAGTTGGCTTTCCCGAATGAGTGATCCAAATGAGAACAAGGCACAGTCACAATGTCTTTGATCAATCTAATCTCAGAAATCACACAATATCACTTCTGCATATCCTACTAGTTCCAGAGATCAATCCTGACAGTGCAGGAGAGGTCAACAGAAGGGCACAAATATCAGGAGATAAGGATCACCAGGACCATTTTGGAAGGTGGTTACCACAAACCTAATGTCCATTAACTGGTGAGTACATAAACTACAGTACATCCATACAGTGGAATAGTAATTATCAATAAAAAAGGAATAAACTACTGATACATGTAACACAATGGAAAAAAATCACAAATACTAAGTGAAAGAGCCAGACCTGAAAAGCTACGTACAGGGAAAGGCATAACTAAAAGGATATAAAACAAATCAAAGGTTATCAGGAGCTGGTAAGGGGGCAGAAGACTGACCAGAAAGGGGCATGAGGGAATTTCTTTGGATAATGGAAATATTCTATATTTGATTGTGATGGTATGTGTTCATTAGAATTCATACAACTATACACCTAAAAAGGATAACTTTTATTGAACATAAATTATACGTCAAAAATTACTTATAAAGGGGCACCTGGGTGGCTCAGTGGGTTAAGCCTCTGCCTTCGGCTCAGGTCATGATCTCAGGGTCCTGGGATCGAGTCCCGCATCGGGCTCTCTGCTCAGCGGAGAACCTGCTTCCTCCTCTATCTCTCTCTCTGCCTGCCTCTCTGCCTACTTGTGATCTCTCTCTGTGAAATAAATAAATAAAATATTTTTAAAAAATTACTTATAAAAAGAAAGAGAAAGAAATCTTAAGAGGAAAAAAGAGGTCTGGCTGGGAATATTGCTATAGGAGTCTTAATGTGTAAATAACAAATTTCCAAAGGAAAAGTGACTATTAAACCAATAACATTATAAAGTTCCTCATGCTAGAAAACTTTCTATGAGCTTTAGTCTACAGATTGAAAGTGCCCATCAAATTATAGGTCAGACAGATGAAAAAGATACACAAGTATCTTGGCATATCCTGGCAAGAATCTTAAACTTTAAGTAAACAGAAAAAGTTTAGGGACGCCTGGGTGGCTCAGTGGGTTAAAGCCTCTGCTTTCAGAGTCATGATCCCAGGCTCCTGGGATCGAGCCCCACATCGGGCTCTCTGCTCAGCGGGGAGCCTGCTTCCTCCTCTCTCTCTCTGCCTGCCTCTCTGCCTGCTTCTGATCTGTCTGTCAAATAAATAAAATCTTAAAAAAAAAAAAATCCAGATGCATGAAGATTTAAAAAAAAAAAAAAAGAACAGAAAAAGTTTAAATGCTTTCCAGAAAGAAAGAACAAGTCACCTAGAAAAAAAGAGAGACAAGCTTAGGCCTTCTTATTCGTAACAAAATGGAAATGGTGAAATAGTATCCACAAATTTTTGAGAAAAGGACTGCCACCCAAAAATTCTATACTAACCAAGATTAAAATAAAATTATTTAGGAATACCCAATCACTCAAAAAGTGTATCACCCACTTATCTCATCTAGAGAAAGAGCCAACAAAAAATGCTCACCAAATAACTAAATCATTGCAGAGATAGAACTGGGTAAGAAGAAACCTTATGAAATATGCAGTTAAATTGAAGTGGATATTAGTAAAGCAAATGGGAACAGATATATAACAAATAAAAACTCAAATAAATTTACCTTAGAATTAAAGCATCTAAACAAAAAAGAATATTAAAGTCCAGCATTCAGCGTATGAGGAAACTGTAAATAGTTATGACAAACTTTTTTTGTTTTGTTTTGATTTACCTGGTTTGCAAGATGAGAGTGACCAAACAGCTTGTGACCCAATTTCCCGCACTGTTCCAGTCCTTTCCAACTGCTTAGGGTCAGCACCAGGAGGTGTCTTGTTTGGTGTGGTCATTTTTTAGATATTCTATGTAGAAAACAAAAATACTCTCATTATACCAGGACCTGAGCATCTTCTACAAAGGCTAAAAATTAAAATCTAATAGCAAAATACATCACTTACATACCCTTGATATTAATCATCTATTTCTCAAATGCATGTAACATGACTCAATTACTGTAATTAAAAATCTTGGGAATTGGGGCGCCTGGGTGGCTCAGTGGGTTAAAACCTCTGCCTTCGGCTCAGGTCATGATCCCAGGGTCCTGGGATCGAGCCCCACATCGGGCTCTCCGCTCAGCGGGAAGCCTGCCTCCTCCTCTCTCTCTCTCTGCCTATTTGTGATCTCTGTCTGTCAAATAAATAAATAAAATCTTTAAAAAAAAAAAAATCTTGGGAATTCAATTTTTGTTTCTAAAATGTATTATGGGGGCGCCTGGGTGTCTCAGTGGGTTAAGCCTCTGCCTTTGGCTCAGGTCATGATCTCAGGGTTCTGGGATCAAGCCCTGCATCGGGCTCTCTGCTCATCAGAGAGCCTACTTCCCCCTCTCTTTCTGCCTGCCTCTCTGCCTGCTTGTGTCCTCTCTTTCTCTGTCAAATAAATAAATAAAATCTTAAATAAAATAAAATAAAATGTATTATGACTTACAAGATGTGCACAACAGTAGAGTACAGTAGCCAAAGGGCATGGGATCAGGGTTTTAACTTCAGCCTCTCCTTTAACTAGCCTAGACTTTGGGCAGGTCTGGGCTTTATTTCCTTACCTGTAATAGGGGTCAACTTGATCTATAATTCTATAATGCTGTATAATTCTATACCTGAGTAAAAAGTCCTTTTTTTTTAATATTTTATTTTTAAGGGGGAACCTGGGTGTCTCAGTCAGTTAAGCAGCTCCCCTTGGCTCAGAGTCCTGGGATCAAGCCCCATATAGGGCTCCCTGCTCAGTGTAAACCTGCTTTTCCCTCTCCCTTTGCTCCTCCCCCTGCTTGTGCTCTCTCTCTCTCTCTGTCAAATACATAAATAAAATCTTCAAAAATAATAATATTTTTAAGTATGCAACATGGGGCTCGAACTCACAACCCTGAGATCAAGAGTTGCATGCACCATCAGCTGAGCCAGTCAGGCTCCCCTCTAAGTAAAAATTCTTTATTTAAATGACTTTTTTCTTGGAAATATTTATATTCCAAGATATGTAAATATTAGTTTCCATTTTATTTATTTTGAACGTAAATTTACTTTGATAATTTATTTTATTAAAGTATAAATAACATACAGTGTTATATTAATTTCAGGTGTACAGTATAATGATTCAGCAATTCTATACATTTCTCAGTCCTCCTCACAATAAGTCTCTTATTTTTTTTTAATTTTAATTTTTTTTTAAGATTTTATTTATTAATTTGAGAGAGAGAAAGCATGAGGGGGAGAAGGTCAGAGGGAGAAGCAGACCCCCCATGAGCTAGGAGCCTGATGCGGGACTCGATCCTGGGACTCCAGGATCAGGTCATGAGCTGAAGGCAGTTGCTTAACCAACTGAGCCACCCAGCTGCCCCTAATTTTTATTTTTAAGTAATCTCTACACCAACGTGGGGCTCAAACCCACAACCCCAAGATCAAGAGTCCCACCTTCCAAATGCAAGCTGGTGTAGCCACTCTAGAACACAGTATGGAGGTTCCTCAAAAAGTTAAAAATAGAGCTACCCTATATCCCAGGCAAGCACACTACTGAGTGTTTACCTTAAGATACAAATGTAGGGGTCCGAAGGCGCATGTGCACCCGAATGTTTATAGCAGCAATGTCCACAATAGCCAAACTATGGAAAGAACCTAGATGTCCATCAACAGATGAATGGATAAAGATGTTGTGGGTGGGGTGCCTGGGAGGCTCAGTGGGTTAAAGCCTCTGCCTTTGGCTCAGGTCATGATCCCAGGGTCCTGGGATCGAGCCCCGAATCAGGCTCTCTGCTCAGCAGGGAGCTTGCTTCCTCCTCTCTCTCTCTCAGTCTCTCTCTGCCTGCCTTTCTGCCTACTTGTGATCTGTCGAATAAATAAATTTAAAAAATAAAATAAAATTTCTGAAAAAAAAAAAAGATGTGGGGTATATATATAATGGAATACTATGTAGCCATCAAAAATGAAATCTTGCCATTTGCAACTATGTGGATGGAACTAGAGGGTATTATGCAAAGCGAAATAAGTCAATCAGAGAAAGACAATTATCATATGATCTCTCTGAGATATTTGAGAGGCGGGGGGGCGGTGGAAGTTATGGGGGGAGGGAGGGAAAAAATGCAACAAGATGGGACCGGGGAGGAAGACAAACCATAAGAGACTCTTAATCTCAGGAAACAAGCTGAGATTGCTGGGGGATCAGGGCGGGAGAGATAGGGTGGCTTGGTTTTGGACACTGGGGAGGGTATGTGCTATGGTGAGTGCTGTGAACTGTGTAAGACTGATGATTCACAGACCTGTACCCTGAAGCAAATAATACATTATGTGTTAATAAAAAAAAAAAAAAAAAAGAAAAGAGTCCCACCTTCCACCAACTGAGCCAGCCAGGTGCCCCACAATAAGTCTACTCGCAATCCCCTTTATCTGTTTCACCCATTCTCCTACCCACCTACCCTTTAGCAACTACCAGTTTGTTCTCCGTATTTAAGAGTCTGTTTATTTTTTTGTTTTGTTTCTTAAATTCCACATGAGTGAAATCATGTGATATTTGTCTTTCTCTATCACGTTTATTTCACTTAATCTTATACCTTCTAGGCCCACCCATGTTGTTGCAAATGGCAAGATCTCATTCTTTTTTATGACTAATATTTCATCGTGTGTGTGTGTGTGTGTGTGTGTGTGTACCACATCTTCCTTATCTATTTATCTACTGATGAACATTTGTGTTGCTTCCACGTATTGCCTATGGTAAATAATGCTGCAGTGAATGCAGGGGTGCATATATCTTTTCGTATTAGTGTTTTTGCTTTCTTTGGGTAAGTTACCCAGTAGTGGAGTAACCGGATTATATGGTAATTCTATTCTTAATTTTTTGAAAAGTAATTAATTAAAATACTGTTTTCCATAGTGCCCAATTCACGTTCTCTCCAACAGTGCACAAGGGTTCCTTTACCTCCAACAGCCTTGCTAACACTTCTTATTTCATGTCTTTTTTATTCTAGCCATTCTGACAGGCATACCGTGATTATCTCACAACAGAAATATGAAAAGATACTCAACATCACTAATCATCAGAGAAATACAAACAAAACCACAATGAGATACAGGTCTCCACTTTAAATAATCCATTAAGTGATACAGAGAAAAATTACTTCTCCCAAGTTGCCAAAAGTTCCATTTACATGACATAGAAGATGTCAGAAAAATGGTTTCAAAGCACAGAAGTGAATAAATGACCCATTCTAAACCTCAAAATTTACTTCTTTTGTTATCTTGGTAAATCTATGCAGACATGAAAAAAAAATCTCCAGTAGTGAGCAATATGTAAAACAGCTTACATGTGCAGTTACAGACACTGAACATGGTTATATACGCTATTAGAAACCTCACCCAGTAATTCAATATACCATCTCCTTGACACTTTTTAGATCTCAGTTGTTTCCTAATCTCCACACAGCACATGATACTCATTAAATAGGAGTGGAATCCCTAGACTGTAAAATTCAGAAAGGCCTGAGACAAATGCTCAATTAGCAATTTACTGAATGAATAAGTGCAGTCCTAAGCCAAAGTATGCACCTTCTACAAGCTAAGGAAGGACTAGGATGAGACAAGTAAACCTGTGACTATCACTAGAAGCTGAATATCCTGTCGCTGTCAACCGTTCCAAAACGTCAAACTGGACCAAAAAAAAAAAAAAAAAAAAAAAGGAAAGAAAGAAAGGGAGGAAGGGAGAGAGAGAGAAAGAGAGAAAGAGGAAGGAAAGAGAGAAGGAAGGAAGGGAGGGAAGGAAGGAAGGAAGGAAGGAAGGGAAGGAGGGAAGGAGGGAGGGAAGGAAGGAGGGAGGGATGGAGGGAGGGAAGGAAGGAGGGAGGGATGGAGGGAGGGAGGGAGGGAGGGAGGGAGGGGCTCATCTCCTCACTGGAACAGAATTCAACTGCCCGACTTGGTACTGGACGCCACCAAGTGGATAAAACACGGAGCTCGGAAAGCCTGGGTTCCTGGCCACCCACTTAAGAATGGGCTGAGGCCAAGGAGGGATCGCCATCACCAGCAGTATTTGGACCAGATTCTGCTGATCCCACTTGACACCTCTGCTAGAAATGCCAGAATGGGCAATGGCTCTCCAGCGGCCTTGAGATCGGGAGGGAAAAAGGGGGATCGAGAACTGGGATGAGAACGCGTCTACTTGAGCTAGAACCAGTCTCCACATGGTGGGGGGTGATGGGAGCCCACGCACTTACAGCTTACAGACCCGGCTTGCAGCAACCCAGCTTTTTAGGATGCCCTGCAGCTCCGTGCCACTCCCACTCAGGACAGCCCGGCTTTCCCAACGACGTTAAGTTGGAGTCGCAGCAAAATGACGTCAGTTCTCGCCGGCCGGACCAAGTCCCGGGCTCCGCCTGTCGCTCTCTGTCGCGCGCGCGCACTACGTTCCTAAAGCATGCGCGAGGCGGTGGTTGAGTACCGCCATTTTGGCCGGTGGCCGTAGGAACGCGCTGTGTGGGGGAGAAGTGAGAGGAAGAACTGATTTGGCCTCTGAGCTCCCCTCCGGGAGGGGATCGTTTTCTCCAGGTACGTGACTAGCCCGGGAGGGTTTGGCGGTTGACTGCGGCCTCACACGGTTTAAAGACTCTAGGGACATTCTCTGAGAGTCTTTGGCGAGGCCTGTGGTGTCGGCCGCGGAGAACGCTGCGGCGCGGGGCAGCCGGCTCGGAAGGGACAGCTGGAACCGCCAGAGCGGGGGCGCCGCCGAGGGTTTGGAGGCACGTCACTCCTCACCTCCAGCTGACCTGGACCTCGGCCACTGTTGCTCGCCACCCGCTCAGGGGCTACCAGAATGGACTTAAATGCCATCTCAGAGATCAGATACGACCGTCTCCACTCCCCCTTGACTACACTCTTGCCCGAAAGCTGAACCTTACAGAGAAGGCAACTTCAGAACTTAAAGCATCCCTTTTTTCCCCCATCCTTACCCTGACACAGTAAAATGGATATATTGTCACACGTGTCTATTTGATTCTAGGAAGTCGTAGCCTTTTCTTCTACGGCTTCTTTGGTAATTATGGAATGAGTCATGGCATTTTGCCGCCATGGAGTCGAGTCGTCCGTTCCCCGTCTTTATAGAAATAATGGGTAGTTGTCGCTCTGCTTTTCTCTTAGAGTAACGTGTATTCGGTTATCCCAAGTAATCTCCCAGTTCAGCGTCTGTATCTTTTTTGGTGCGCTTTGAAAGCACTTGGCACTTTCTTCTTGGTGACTTGTGTTCCCTGTCTTTATACAAACTGCAGGAGATCAGGAGTGCGAAGGCGCCTGCTTTGTAGACATGATGGCTAAAGCCAATTCCCACATCCCATAAAATACGAAAACCTATTTTCTCCCCCCCCTTTTTTTTTTTTGGTAGTAAAGTCCATAAGAGTGAGAAATAACTGTCAAAAACAATGGGGAGGAGTGTGGGAGGGGTTGTGCCGGGGGTTTTTGTTGTTGTTTTACCCTTTCTCCCACAGGGGCTGCTAGCTAGGCATTTATGATAGTGGTAGTTGTGTTGCATTTATCAGTACATTTGTTTCATATACTGAAAATATTCGTACTGTATCAGCTACCTGACAGTAATGTTTCGTCAGTGTTAACCAAGGGCTCTTACCTGTATTTGTACCAAAAGGGTATTTTGTGTTTAAAATCTTGTTATGCCCCTTAAAAACATTTTAAGAACATTTAATAAATTTCTGAAAGTGTAAAAAAGTATTAATTGGGCGTCCCTTCTAAACCTGTTCAGTTTAAGACTCTGAAATCAAGAATTGTGCACCACTCCCAACTTACATGTTTTATAAGACTAATAACTTAAAGTAACCATAGACTGGAATACTTTATGTGATATCAGGCGTCATTTGTTCACAGCAGTATTTTAAATGCTTTCACATGATGTTATGATAATTTTGGTCTTAGACCAAAAATGCTTTCCATAATGCCTCTCACTTCCTTTTTTCCTCCCAGCTGGAAGAATGACAGTGAGGGTCATTATTTGAGTACCTGTTTTGAGCAGTTTGTCTTCAGATCTGAAATATCTTCAAGTTCCTCTTGTCTCCAACAGTCTGTTACTACCCCCACCTCTGAGGCTTTACTGTGCTGTATGTCACTGAAAAAGAAAGTAGGGATCCCTCCTCCCCAGTTCTTGAAAATAATATACAAATTTAGTCATTATTGTTGACACAAGTAAGAGTTCTACAAAGAATTTATATTCCTTAGTCTTAAATGGATTATAATTTATCTCTGTTTCTTATACAAATCAGCTTATTAATTATCTCTGGTATGTTTTTATTTTTCTATACATCATCACTTTCAGTCACTTGGTTTTTAAAATGGTTTGAAATATCAGACGAAACACTTTAGTAATTTGGCAGAAATAAAGTTTAGCATCAGCAATTTTGTGATAAAGGATTTATCCTGTAGAAGGAACTTCATGACATTCATTCACCAGGTAATTTGTATGGCGTCCAGCTTTATTTTAATAACTAAAAACTCTTCAGTTTTTGAGTGAAAGTTTTTTTGTATCAATTCAAAAGTCATTTAATTTCTTTCTCTTCTAGTCGTTATGAAAACTGGACCAGTTTTTAAAGGTTTTAAGGAGGTAGAGTGGATCTTTTAGTTACCATAATTCTCTTTATTACGTAAATACTTAGTCTCCTCTTGGGTAATTTTTTTTTTCCAGTATAACTTTAGTGGATAACTGTCACTATGAAATATTGACAATATTTCTGAAGTCAGTTTAACCTATCAGAAATTATTTACTATATCCAAATTCATTTTCTCGTTTATTCAACAGAAATATTTGAGCTTTTATGATGTGCTGGGCACTAGTTTAGCCATTGGGCTGAACATACAAGAAATCCCTGCCCTCATGATGGAGTATCTTTTACTTGGGGTGGGAAAAATATTGTGTAGAGAGAAGGAGTATATAAATACATGTATATACACACAATAAATATGTACATAAACTATGTGTACCTATATATGAAATACATACTGTGTGGTATAGTAGAAATCGCTAAAGAAGCAAATCAGGGAAGAAAAAACAATCATTAGGGTATATTTTTTGGTAGTATAGTTAGAAAATAAACATTAGTATAGTTAGAAATAAACTATAGTTTATTTCTATACTATATTCTACTATACCCTACCTATACTCTATACTATAATATACTATATTATACTATACCTATACTATAGGTAGTATAGTTAGAAATAAGCATTAAAGACTTGAAGTAGTGAGTCTTGTAACTCACTAGGGGGAAAAGCATTAGAAGCAGAGGGAATAGAAAATGTTAGGGCCCTGAAGCAAGAACATGTCTGATGTGTGCTAAGAACAGCAGGGAGCCAGTGTGGCTGGAGCAAAATGAACAAGAGTTAGAGTAGGTGGAGATGACATCAGGAGGTAATAGAGGCTGATCAGTACCTCATTAGTTATTTTAAGGACTTTGGCTTTTATTCACAATGAGTAGGGAAGCCGCTGCAGGTGTTGAGAGGAGTGACATGATCTGACTTATACTTAAAAAGGATCATCCTGGCTTGTGTAGTGAGAAGGAACCGTCAAGAGTTGAAGTAGAAGGAGGTAAGAGTAAAGCAGAAAGACCTGATAGGAAGCTATTAGAGTAATGCATATGAGAAATAATGGTGGCTTAGACCACAGTGATGAGAAGTGGTCAGATTCATGAAGGTAAATTGGACAGAATTTGCTATTGTGGCATGTAAAAGATAACTTCAAGAATTTTGGCTAGAGTAAATGGAAGACTGGAGTTGTCATTTAACAGAATGGACAAGACTGCTAGAGAAGCAAATTTTGGTGGGGACTTAAGGAATTCAGTTTGGGAGATGCATGTTAGACCTTCAGGAGGAGATGTTGGGTAGTCAGGTAGATGGATATATAATTTTAGGGTTAGGAGAGGTATCCTGGCTAGAGATAGAAATTGAGGAGTTAATAGCATATAAATAGGATTTAAAGCCATGAGATCAGAATAGAATACCTTAAAGAATGAATATAGATTAAAAAATGTGACTATTAGCGCACCTCTCAACTTTCAGTAGCCCAGAAGATGAGGAAAAGTGACCAAGAAAATAGGAAAATCAGATTAGTGCTGTGTCCCAGAACCAAGTTAAGAAAGGTTTTCTATTTTTAGGAAAACGTCATAAATTGTGTCAGATGCAGTAAGTGTTCAACTAAGTTAAGAACCATTAACTAGCTATTTGTTTTACCTGTGTATAGAGTAGCGATGATCTGATAAGGTGTTTTGATAGAATAATGGACACTAAAGTCTGAAATGGAGTCCAGAAAAAATACATAGGAATTTGGAACACTGACTATAGGCAACTTTTTGAAGTAGTCTTGATATAAAAGGAAGGAGAAATAAAGAAATGGGAAAAGATAGAGTCAGATAATAGAATGTTTGAATGCCAATAGGAACGAGCCAATGGAAAGAATAACTTAAGATGTGGAAGATGGGAGAGAATTGTTAGAATATTCCCCTTAGCAGATGTCTTTTAGTGTGCAAGTAGCCTTCACTGTCCACCAAATACATATAATGTGATTGCTGGTTGGCATAAGGGCTTACTAGTCAGCATGGCTTGGCTTTTTGTTTACCCATTTTCAGCTTTATGTGTGCAGATGAAGAGTGGTATGTAACCAGGATTGTAGTAAAGGGTATAAATGACTGAGAGGGGTATTTAGTCAGGTACAGAGGGACAGGAAGATACAAAAGCTGAGGGATAGTGAAAATGTGATAGAATCAAAAGATACAGTAAGTGTAGGGAATGGGGGAGTTCAAAGGGTTGTTGGACTGTTGGGTACAACTGAAAAGATAGGGAGTGGTGGTTGAAAAATGGGGTATTTGAAATGGAGGTTATAGCAGGATTGCAGTTACTGGTAATAACAAGGTCAAGGATTTCACCAAAGGAATGAGAAGGTTGAGGGAGGGTGAAAGAAAGATCACTGGAGGAGAGAGGTTACTGAACTAAGAAGACAAGCTATTAATACAAAGATCATCTATGAACATGCTGAAATCAAAAATTATGACAGGAGCTGTAAAAGAGAGTGAAAAATAGCCCAGAGTAGTCCTTAAATGGAAGGGAGAGATTTGATGGTCAGTGAATGACTAAAGTAGTTTGATGATCAGCGAAGCAAAAGCTGACTTTTTAGTGAGGAGAGAGATATAAGATAGATATAAGATAGTCTGGGAGCAGCACTGAGGAACATGCTGTTTTATCCCTCTCCAAGCCTTACAGCATGTGAGAAAGACAGGTCTACAAAGGGAAGCAGTCAGTCAAAAAAAAAAAAAAAAAAAATCAGAATTATCAC